CTTTGCTTAAAGCAGATGTAGTCCCGCTTCGAGAGTATTTTATGTCCAGAGCGTGACGGTGAGAGAAGCATTGGCATCGTGTCCCTTAGAAATAGGTTGTACATCTCTGAAATCTTTGAAAATCCTGTTAATGGGAAAAAAAGATATAAAAAAAAAAAAAATCAGGTTTGGTTGTGAAATACGGACAGCAAAACCCTGCCACCCCAATACTATTTTTTACGCAAGGGTTGGATAAAAACGATGAGTTTAAGAATCAGCAAAGCCCCATTTAATGTCTCCAAACCAGAGAAATTTTCGGGTTCCCGATTGCAAAGGTGCCTTTTAAATTTCAGCTACTGCCATAATTTTCAGCAGTGAGAAATAAAAGGGATGTCTGAACAGCGCGGAGGGGGAGGCTGGAAATCACTGGAATATTTAAAAAAAAAAAATAAATTGGTACTCTAGTAGGTGGCAAAGCTTGGGTAGTTTTGCCCCGAACAGAGGTCGCTGGGGGTGATTTTATGGGGTCTGGAGGATTTTCTCCTATTTCAAAAGGAATTCTTATTAAATAAGTTTCCTCTCTTGAGCATCAGTTCAATTCTAGTTTCTGCGTATTTATTGATTTATTTATTTGTTTCCCCCCCCCACCTTGTTTTTAAACCCAAAATGCCAGTTGATGTTCAGGCTCGGAATAAATATCCAAGTCCTTTTGTCTCCCCATGGGCAGCCTGTCTTCTCTTTCCTTCTTCTTAATTGCTTGTCATTGATGAGATGCTTAATGAGGGGAGAGGAGATCCTCGTGCAAACCAGTTGGTTTGGCAGGAAAAGCCACCGGCACCTATTGGAGTCTATAAATACACGCAAGGAGCAGGAAAAAGCCTCCCATGGCTCTCTGCTTCTTATATCTCTTGGTTTAAAAAAAAAAAAAATCTCTAATAAAAAAAAAAATTAGAGGAAACCTAAAGAACTGAAAGACATTTTCTCCGTCTGCAGCACGAGGAGGGTTTGCTTTGCTTTGCCCAGAGAATTAAACTTGCTGGAGATTTTCTTGTCTATGGTATGTTGGGTTACACTGGGTTTAAAATAGAATTCAGAGCTGCTCTCTGTCCTACTCTGGGTTTTAAATAGATATATTTAATAACTTTTAGTGTCTTTTATATAAATTAATAAAGTATCTTTTGGTATTTTGTATATTTTATATATATACGGATACACGTCCCAAAGATACTATATATAGATAAAGATGCTGTATGTCTAAGATGCTTTATATGGACACTTTTTATATATAAAAGAGTTTTATTTTTCTTTATCTGCCTTTTTGCTGGGCTCTTTGCTGCCCAGGGGATGGGAGCGGGATGGCGTCGGGGACGCGGGGGATGCTAGGGGGT